TTATTATTATATATATATTTTTTAAAACCTTTAAAGCTGCAGTAGGTAAATTGTTAAAAAAATACAATTTGTCATATTTGCTGAAACTTTGACTATATCCTGACAGTAGAACATGAAAAAAATCAGGATCTTCTGGCTTGTTCTGGCGCCCCTAATAACATTTACAAGAATCTACCAGGCCCGACCAAAAACAACCTATCAGAGCCGAGGAAGATTGTTGATTGTTGAGTCTCATTCTCAGGACGTCAAATACCGACGCTTTGGGAAATGAGACTCATCAATCTTCAAGCCTCCAACCCGTCTTTATATCTTTCTCGGCTCTGATTGGTTGTTTTAGTTTCGGCCCGGTGGATTCTACAAATGTCATTAGGAGCACTAGAACGATCCACAGAATGCTGATTTTTTCACAGATTATCTGTCTCATGTACTACTGTCAGGATAAAGTGAAAGTTTAAGCGAATATGACAAAAAGGTTTTTTTAGAAACATTACCTACTGCAGCTTTAAATGAACATATTAAACATGATGCATCTAACAGTACATATTTAAAAATCAGATTAAAATGCTGCGTAAATGTTAATGCATCAGTAATAATGGTCCAATAATGTAGTTTCTAATAGTACAGCACAAATCAGGGTAATTCTGCTGCCTACTGAGTACTTTTATTTAAGTAGAAACTTAATGCAGAACTCACTTGTATTGAAGTATTTTTAAATTACTGAATCCCTACTTTTACCAAAGTAAAGGATCTGAATACTTATTCCACCACTGAAAAGCTCTGACTCTGTTATTTTTTATATGAGAACAGCTCAGAGTGCATTATCGCTCTTATACCACGACCACTAAGAGAAGTGGTGTTCAGATTTTGTAGCCACTCAACTGTCCATTCTTCTCTCCCCCATCAGGGCTCATGAACAAGAGTTGACGAAGAGGCACGAGAGGGAGCTCGCCGAGATGAACGCCCTCCACAGCAGAGAGACGCAGAACATGCTGTCAGACTTCAACAAAGCCCAGGAAGTGCTCAAAGACAAGATCTCCGCCCTTCAGATCCTGTATGTATACACTGTAAACACACTGTTTACCTGTCTATCTATGCAATGATGGAGATCTATAACAATTACCTTATGATTGCCATGTGTGCAGGTCAACCCTTTTCATCCTAGATAATGTGATTGTGTGCTGTCAGGTGTCAAGTGGAAGCTTAAAGCAACAGACAAGTTTTCTCAGGGGAGAATAACAGACGATGCGTTCACACCTCCCTGAACACTCCTGGTTTCTCTTTTTATCCTCATCGGCTGCACTCGCTCGTGTCGTATAGATGAAATATGTTAAACACTCTGCTTTTCTTTTTTTGTCCATGCAATGACCTGAAAAATCACTGCGTTATATAGACAATTAGGACATATCTAAACACACTCGCAGTTGTTAGTCATATAGGAGCAGCCGGGCTATTTTTATTTTCCATTTGCGTCAGGTGAAGCGGAGTATAAATAGGAGGCGGCTGTGATGAATTATTTTTTCTTCTCAGCTAATCATATTGCTTGTGTCATACGTTATAAACAGCTGCACCGAGCAGGACGGTGCATGACGAAACTGGCTCACCATGAAAGGAGGCACCGGGAGAGATTTACCACTGCACCCTCAATCTGTACCTGAGCCGCATTCTCCTGGAAACAATGCATTTCCTTTCTCAAAACAAAGGAAATAACACAAAGAGATATAAATTACTCCATGAAATCAAAGATTTAAAAGAAGAGAAACACGAATGCCAGCACTGTCTAACGCTCCTTTTGGAGTCTTTTATTAAAAGAAACACTGTCCAGACAAGGAGGTGTTCTTCAGACAACTGATTCCAACTTAATGAAACATTGATATCAAAAACTTTCAGTTTACGAGTGAAAGAAATTCCAGGTTTCATATCCTGGACCTCTGCCTGCTTCGACAGCTGCTTCATACAATCCTGATGTGCGTCAACATGGCTGTGTCACATAAACTGTAACAACTGTCCAGCCTGCCAGAAACATTGGTTTTCATTTGGTTTTCATACGTGGTGAGCAGAGCCTGATGGCTTCATCTGAATATCGTTTGTGATTTGTTCATCTGTTCAGTCCAAACAGTGCCAGCGTGTTGGCGATCTCACCAGAATCTTTGCTGGAGTGTAAATCCACATAGGAAACGCTACCTGTCTCACAGAGATTTACTGTCTCACCATCCTTTAAGCAAACAAAGCACAAAGCAGAATTATACAGCAAAAACAATCCTCAAGCATCAACAACATCATCTGTTACTGCCAACATTCACCAAATTTATTCATTGATATTGTCAGTACTGTTTGCCAGGATTTTAGAAATACTGGGACTTTTTTGACAAACAACCAAAAATATTAATTAATTTAACTTTTTAATTACATTTTATGTAAATTTGTCTCCCAAAATACTTTTCAAAACTTTCTTCTTATGTCACATTTTAAATTATATTCCTATTTATCGTCTAAATGCAATCAAATGTATAGATCTTTGGTTAAATATATATATATATATATCAGCATCAAACTTACATACAAAACACACCATGTAAAGTTTGACCCCTCACATTCTTAGACATGACCTCGGTGTTATCGCTGGTAGCTACGACCCTGGCTGATGTAAACAGTAACTTCCAATGAAACCAGTTTCATTGTTCTGCCTTGTTGATTGACTGGTTGGTGTGCCTGTTCCCCCATCTGTAACATTATATGTTAGGTCCCTTTTAAAACCTAAACATTTGAGTAGTGGAGTGGATGTCAGTTAAAACTTTACAGAGTGCAGTGTGCAGTTATAATAGTATGTTATTATGGAGTGTGCCAGGCAGGGATTATCATTTGTTATTCCAGTCCTCCTGTTAAGGCCATTGTTACCGGTTCTGCTAGTTCCAACCAACATCTTATATTAGTTTCAGGATAAGATAAGATAAGATAAGATAAGATAAGATGTTCCTTTATTGATCCCCTTGGGAGAACTTCCAGTTTAAAAATACAATAAATATACTAAAGATATAATAGAAAATATAAAGACTTTAATGAAAATATATACACTTATATGCAGTATGCAGAAAGAAATATGTGCAAACATTTTATAATCAACTGTACATGTGCAATATATATAAAGTATTAAATAAGTAAATGAATTAAAGTTTTCAATTATTATAAAGTATTAAATTAATCTCTCTGCTAACTCTGATAGCTGCAAACTCCTTGAATTTATTCGTCTGTAAGACACAGTTAAGAAGGACAGTGATGATCACTGCACTGAATGCACGACGGGTTTAAAACCATTTTGATTTTTGGACTCCTGCGGCCTTAAAACATCCTCAGATGAACTACAAATCATCAAACTCAGGACATGTCCTGCCAAATGTACAGTATGGAATAACTTCAGTCTACATATCAAATAACTTCAACTCAGCTGAAGAACTTGCAGAGATCAAAGCTAATGTATAGACTCACATGGAGTAAGGATCAAAGACATTTAGCCTAGCAAGTAACGATACCGGGAATCCAATTAGTAGAAGGACATTATGTAACTACTGAAGATGAAGAAGGCGATTTATATTATTGAAGACATGCAGATGACATTCAGTGAGGATACTGTCGGAAAAGGAGGTCAGGTTAGGTCTCGGGTGAAGCAGATGTTGCAGTGTATCTGTAGAGTGAAGGAGTATGAGGGCTGTGGGTGAAGACAGAGATTTAGAAGAGAAGATGGATGGTTGGAGAAATAAGAAAGAAAGAAGTGAGCTGAAAGGTACATTTTTACCTCGAGGGGCGACGGGGGCAGTGGATGATGTCAAGTCATGGGGGAAATGAGCTAAACTAAACCTCAAGAGGAAGTCACAGAGACAGAGAGAGAGGACAACAGATAAAAACAGAAAGTAAAGCCGTGGAAACCTCTGAGTCTCAGAGTCAGGAGATATGCAGCGAGCTAGCATCCTCTTCAGAGCTGACCTCCTTTTAGTCTGGCTGAGCTGACAGCAAAGCGCCACCTGCTGGACTAAAGAGGACGAAGTGTTGGTTGTTGTACAGAGAAAATGCCACATTAAGGCTGTTTGTTGCCGTACACACTTTGTTACTCTGATCTGTAGTTAAAGAGGATGCAAGGTGGGCAGATACAATGAGTAGAGACATTTCCTGAAAAGGCTCCAATGTTTTCTCTGTAAGTTCTTACTTTCTAAAGACCTTTGGTAACACAACTCCAGGTCCTCTTACTAGCTTTTTTATTTATAACTTACTTCATATCAGAGGATGGAGTTTGCTCAGTTGGATGGATGTGCTCAGATTTGATCTGAGTGAGTGTTTTGGTTTCATTTGGATTTTTATTTCTGATGGATTAAAGTTAGCTAAAACATTAAACACTGCAAACATTATACCTGCTAAACATCAGCATGTAAGCATAGTCATTGTAAGCATGTTGATGTTAGCATTTAACTCAAAGCAGTGCTGTAAGTGCAGCCTCTCACAGCTGCTAGTTTGGGTATTTTGAGGGTATTTTCTTTTACTGTGACATTTTAGAGGTAATTTAAAATAAACAAGTATGTAGGAAGAGTAACTTTATGAAGACTTCACTGGACCGAAGAGCCTAAACTTTGGAGAATCTGTCAGAACAAGTGCCTACTTATCAGTGTACTCATGATAAAGTGAAGTGATACAGTATGTGCAGGAAGTTTACAGACTAAATATGGAGTCGGGCAGTCTTCTTTCTGTGTTAATTTAACCAGTTTTCTGGGACAAATTTACTTTAATGGTCAGCAGTTTTTAATTTTCTGGGATTTTCTTCACTTAACCTAGTAAAGAAGTATTTCTGGGGCTGTCCCCAGAGATGGCACTGTCTTCCATCTAATTAACAACAACACAGATCCATCTTAACCGCCAACCCTGTCCCTTCCTACCTAATTAATCACTGTGTTGACGACAGTCTCGTCCCTCCCTACAAATCCCTCTCCCCGAACAGACACTGAGAAAGCTCCACCATTTAAGTTTCATGAATATTTAAGTGTTTTGTCCTGCGCCTGTGCTTTATTGGTGGGTCCTCTGGGAGTTGGAAAAGCATGTCTGTGGGTTACAGTCTGCGTTTGTTTGGGTTTTGGTCATCGTGCCAACTCCAGATGCAGCTTGTAGTCACGTCAGCAATATTCCAGCTTGCAGGTGACACCGACCAGAAACGTAATTACAGGCAACACTTTTTAGCAGCAGCTCTAAAATCAGTATATTAAAGTGCAGGTAACCATAGCAACAATGCTTTTGCTTCCCGCTACATTACCCTGTTAAATCTCACCAATTCAACATCTGCAAGATTGAACAAGACTCTCTGGATGCCGAGCGAGAACCCCTAAACACTCAGAATAGCTATTTCTTCTCAAATGGAGTGGACAGCACAGTCCGAGAGCCCAAATTCATCATGACAAAGAAAGAGGTGGAACATTATAAAGTCTGGTGTCTCTCTTCCCTGTGGATTCTGACAATCTCATAAGGATGAAGTGTAGTGCCACCATACAAATCACACAGCCCTTTAAAAGATGTAGCTGTCTCTGGCGTGTGTAGATAATACTGTGCTGGCTTTACAGTCTTTATACAGACTGACGTTGGTGTGTTATGGTTGATATGGGACATATAGGTCTAAAGCCTTTTAATGCAACTCATAGTCTCTATAGTCTTATAGTCTATTTTCTTTGATAATTATCCCCTTCATGCACTGTGAGTTTTCTATTATAAGAAAACTAATGGCCTGACAGGGGACAGTTCCTTGTTCATTATTGTCGATTATTTATTATATTCATACAGCTCATTATTGCACTTATAAGACAGCAAATTAATAAAAGAAAAAAGGGAGTGTGTGCAGGGTCCAAAATTAACCTTTTGGCTCATCTGCCAGCCAAAAATATTTCTTACCGGCTATAAAACTGCGTCATGGTTCTGAGCTTCATATTTTAGATAAGATCTTGGGGATCCTGCGTCGCCACATTTCTAATATCTTGTAACGCCGATGTTTCTTACAGCAAAAACATAGACAGACATTGTGTAGGAAGTTGCTTTGATTTGATTCGCTGACGTCACGATTAGGGTTGTGTATTGGCAAGAATCTGGTGATACGATACGTGTGATGATACAGGGGTTACAATTCAATATATTTTGTGTGTGTTTAAATCTTTGTACATATTTTATGTTTGCTTGTTGTTACTTTAAGTCATGGTTTGGTTTGTGTAATCAGTGTTTCTTGTTTTCTAGGATGATTCCTGAATTAGAATTAAGGTACTTTCAGACAGTGAGTGGTTGCCGGTGCTGCTTCCATTGTTTCCAAAAGTAAATTTTCCTAGTTTCCTTTATACAGAGTTTGATTTTCCATAGACAATGGTTATTAAACTAGTTAACTAAACTTGTTACATTCATTGTCATACAGCTTTATTGCTAAGCTACAACTTGTAGGTTATTAGGATCGGATGTAGCGACGACGGAGATGTGCCCTTCTGCCACCCATAGAAATTATGTGGCAACACCAACTACTGAATGCACCTTTACAGTTATGGTTTGTGTGTATTGAGGTCATCGCAAAAGGAATAAATAATTTATTAAACATGTAGTCCAGTGAGTATGCTAATGCTGCCAATAACTACAGCAGCTGAAATGAGAGAAAATGACAAAAACACGACCAGAAGGTAGTGACGATAACAGGAGCACTTACCCAACACTTCCTCTTGACCATCAGACATTGTCAGTTTTGGATTATATTAAATTCCATCACCTTGAAAACTCAAAATGAAGTAGTTCCTGAAAAACCACATCAGCACCTTGCTGCAGCTTTACTAGTGACATTTAGAGCACTAGTGCCTGTCCGATATCTCTTATCAGCTCAACCATGCAGTGGATAGATGTGGATTCACCCTCCTGCGGGAAAATTGGTTTGATGGCTTGTCCAATCACTGGAAATATTATGTTCATGTGATCTTAGAAAAAACCCCAAAACACAATGAATGCTATGAGTGACACCGGACTGCTTTGTCTTTCACATGTCACTGACGCTCCAGCTGGGTGACACTGAGGGTCTTCCTGCTCAGTGAAGGGTTGCTGATGCTGCAGCAAGTTGGGCGTAAAATAGTTGGGACACTAAACATTTGGCCCGCGTGTGCTCCTGCCCAGAAGGCCACAGTTTAACCAGCCAGTGCTAATACATACATACATACGTTGGAACCACCAGTTCAACTCAAGCAGAAAAAAAAAACCCTCTGAATATTTGGATCTGATATGAGTTACCCGCCAGCCTCAGTGGGAACAAGTGAGTTTACTGAACAAATGGTCTCTCTGGAAGTGGTAGCCTCACATTGTTTTTCCTGGAACTTAATTTTCTGGTCTGGAGAAACAATGTAGAGTTATAACTCTGCAGTTCCTCTCAGGATCTCAAGAGCATTTTAGCATCTTTCGGCTCATTGTTTTGTTTTTTCAGCTCGTTTTGGTTCATCAACCTTGTTTCCAGCTAATTTTAGAAAGAAAAGCTGCAATAAAACTACTGCACACTCTCTGCCGAGCACCAAATACCAGATATACAATGTTAGCAACTAGCTGGTGAACATAAATGCTAATGCTTAAGTGTCTGCTTGAGGTGTAAATAGGCCATGACATGTCAAGTGTGATTTTTAGCTCGTTGTGGAGCTCTGCTTTGCTCATTTTAGAAGCCAAAAAGCTGATAAATGCAGTTTTAAAGGGCCATTGTGATTTATTAGAATATCAAACCTCAATATGCATTGCTAATGTAGCTCTTTATCTGCTGGATGTCTACATGGACAGCTGTGTTTTTTGCTACCCTAATGTGGCCAAGAAAACACTTACTAATACTGGTTTAAGTAGGTAAATAATGCAAATGATTATACATAAAGCTTAGCAACCATACTTTAAGCTAATGTGTTCCCTTGTCTTCAGTTCATAACAAACAGACACAGCTAGAGCAGCAAAAGAGATTCTGATGCAGAAAATGTTTGACAAACAGGAGGAACACGATGAATCGGCTATCAGAGGTGCACAGGAGGACCAGCACAGCAGCAGACAGTATATCTGATGAAAGTGTAGATCAGTGTGTATCAGTATCACTGAGCAGTGCTTCAGTCGCTGCTCCTGTAGCGAAGGACATTCCTTGGAGAGGGCGCAGTTTATCGGGAAGACAAGCTGCTCTGGTGCTCGGCCTTTAAGAAAGTGTGATTTCACACTGTGGCGTGAATGTCACAAAGATACCCCTCAGTGGTTTGTACTGTGGTTGTGTGGGAAGTGAAAGGCTGTTTAGCTCACTGTCACATAAGGTATTGGTAAAAAACAGAAATAGGCTCAGAGCTAAACATGCAGAGAAACCTAGTTTGATCAAAAACAACCAGTGACGTTTGCTAAGAAGGCCTTATCTCTACAGCCTCATTTTCCAATATTTTGTGTTTTACTGAAACTCGCTGAGCTTCAGAAGTATTTTTAATTTGTTCTTGTTTAATTTAACCTTATATTTTCTGATTTCAGTGGGTGTCATGTTGTATTTCTTTAAACAGAAAGGTGAGCGTCCTCCAAAATGATCTGTTTCATTTTTACCACAACTAAAAATTGCAGTATTTTGAAAGAATGCTTGAATCTTTCAGCAAATACCCCAAACTGAGTACAATTTCAGTGCATATCTGTATCAAATTATACAAATTATTAAGTAGTGGGCAGCTGAAGACTTACATCATCATCTTGTGTGTTAGTAACATTTCTGAAACTGAAAAACCTTTTCAAAGTGCATTAGTTCTTTCAACTATGTGCTACCGTTGCCAAATGGAGGCTTTCAAAGGCTTTTTCTTTCATTTTATTACAATTCTAAAAAATGAGTAATTTTCCAGGCAGCAGTGTCACTTATGATTGGTCGTCTTTGGCTTGAAGAATATTCCCACCAGCTAATGCCCACTCTGCTCAGAGATCTTTAGCATGTGCTGCATTAGGGAAAATGTCACCAAATTTTAAATGAGTTTTTACACAAGCGGTGATTTCTCAGAGGGCCAGTCGGAAAATAACCAAAATCCATTATAGCGTTTTTGAAAGTTCTCATAACTCACAGAACAAAAAAAAATGTCTTCCGGAGGAACTACGCAGCTCCGCTTTCGATTCGAACGTCCGACCACTTAATGGTTTTTGTGATGAGAAGAGAAGAGGGCAGAGAAAGGAAGGGACCGGGGACAATTACTGTTTTATTGATTAAAAGCTAATGAAAATGGAAAGCCCATGAATCACTCATATTTTCCCTCTCTGTAGTATAATTCTCCTTACTCATAAATGGTTTTAGTACACACACACTAAACACTGCAAGATCTAACAAGTTCTCTTACTCCTGCTCTTTTTGGATTTGTAATTGATATATCATGTTACATATTTCATATGGATGGAATTGCAACCTGGTTCTGAGTTTTCAGTGTAACAATTGTATTTGCATTTGTAAGAAGAAGTGGTGCTCAGTGGATCTCTCTTGCAGAATATTTATGTATTTTTATATTTTTTGTCTCTCATCTTACAGGCTGGAAGGAACAGAGGAGAAGTTCAGGAACAGGGAAAGTCGTCATGAGGATCTGCAGATTATTGCTGAGCTGAAGGACATGGTGTCTGAGAGAGAATCGCTAGTCAAGAAACTGGTGGTAGGTAATGTATGTGCACTATATACAGGAGCATGTGTGGAAAGGAAAATATTACTTGTCTGTTTTTGACATATTGGATATATACAACAAATACATTTGAATGCTAACCAAATGTTTTTTAGAAGAAACTGGTCCTTTATAATAAAGGGAATTACAGCAACCTTAAGTGCAAGGTATAAAGTATATGCATGGCATTATTTTAGAATCTGTCTCATATTATAAAAAGCATGATGTAGAGTTGTCATTTGACCTACCGCCCCTGAAAAAAGTTGTAGGGGAATAGTTCAATAGCTGTTCTAATTTTCTAGTATCCATTGTCATTGAGTTTTTCAGTTTAGTGACCTTCATTGGTGGGTGGCATCCAAAAGTTTTATTAATTTTAAGTGAACTCACCTGAAGAAAAGATACTAATGAGAATAAGACAGGACCCAAGATACAGCCTTGAGGCATACCACATTTGATAAGGGTGATTCCTAAACCACCAGCCTCCCTGAGAGACAGGATCAGAACCACTCAAGGACAAAACCAATGACCAAGCAATTTCTAAATAGCTAATTAAACAGAGATGAAGGATAATTAAAATGCAATTACTTTAAACAACTTGTTGTTGGCTTTCAGGGCTTTTGTATGCAGTGGTTTAGTAAAATGGTCAACAGACGTTCAAGTTTATATCTTATTTGAAGCTTTATTTAAAGACTCTTTAATCCATTTTACATCCTTGTGTCCGACCTCACTTTCTCGTTTCTCAGACAGTTTGAGATCCAATATACTTCACCTCATAAACGCTGCGATTTTAACTGCGTTTGTCTGGGACACAGTTAACAATAACACAAGGCCACTGCGGTTCCACTGCACTAATCACATGAAGGTGACTTCATAAATCAGCTTACAATTTGTCACAGTGTAGTGCCGCTGCCATTGAGGTTCCTGAGTCACGGGCTTGTGTCTCTGAGAGCCACATTCTGCAGTCATTTTAAGTTGATCCAGTTGACACTAGAGTGCTCAAACTCGGATAGGAATAAGAATTTAGAGCTAGAAGACATTTAGAATGAATGTTTTGAAGCAGTTTTTATGAAGGCGTGAAACTGCAGCGTCAAGTGTGTGTGCCTCGTCTGCAGACAGAACTCATTAAATGTGTGATTTTCAGTCTTTTCTCGGTCCCCCGAGTCTTCCACAGCCTTTCTGGCTGTCAGCTAACATGGTTTTCTCCTCCAGGACGATAAGAAGTTCTACCAGCTGGAACTTGTCAACAGAGAGACCAACTTCAACAAAGTGTTCAACGCCAGTCCTAACGTAGGAGTCATCAACCCGCTCATTAAGGTAGGCCCTGTTATCCTGTAACACGCCACACACGGGGGCACTCTGAAAAAAGCCTGTCGCTTTATTTTACTACATAGCAAAGATGATATCCACTCCATCTCATTTCACATGCATCAGTGCTGATCGACCAGGAGAGTCAGCACTGAGGTTCATTGCAACAACCATAAAAAATGACCACAGTAATTTTCTGATTTTACTGTAATCGCTGTAAACGAATGAGACCGCTTTGAGTGGACTGTCAGCCTCTGCCAGAGAGTTTCAAGGTTGAACACAACACAAATATGTACAACACAAAGGGAGGATGTTTTACAGCAAAAGACAGGATTATGATGTTCCAGTGAAAACAGATAAAAGTTCTGGTAGATGGTAAAAGGCAATCGAAAAATCTGTTTTAACAAGTTAATTCTTCTTAGTGAAAACGAAGTCACCAAGGACAGTGAAAGAGGACAGGACACAAAACAATTAATGGGAAATATGGTGTTTTTTCTTTTGTTAAAAAACAGCGCAGCGAGAATGTAATGGAGGCTAATAGTTGTACCTACCAAGGTCTCATTTCTTTACAGCAGTTAAACGAAAGTGTCACAGTTCAAAAAGGTATCTAAAACTCATTGCACACAGTATGGCACTAACAATGATTGTTAAAATTGAAATAGCCTTCAACTTTCATGAAAAGGATCTGCAGTATAAATAAATTAACACTGTCTATGACCATTTTATCTCAAAACTAATTGATTCTAGGGCGTTTTTCAGTCAGTTGAGTTAAAAAATCACATTGCATTTATTTGTAGTTTGAAATGCTTTCAAGGCCCTGAAAACTTCCACTAAAAAAAGCAAGTAAACATCATAAATCTGTATGTATAAACACTAAAGAATCAAAGTTAAACTTGTTAAACTTCTTTAACACATTTAAAAAGTTTGACATTGGCTTGGAAAAACAATCCCACAACTCGTCGTCAGATTTTAATTCAAACATTGCTGATTCTGATTGGTGCATGGAAGGACGTGACGTTTGTCCAACTGACCTCCGCCTGCTTCATACCTGTTACTGTTTTAACTGTTGCCAGAAAATTGTGTGGTCATGTAGGATCCCATCACTCATAACAAGAAGCCTTTTTGAGAAAAGATGTTTTCAGGGCCTTTAAAAGCTCCCAGTGCTCCTGGAAAACATGATATTTCATTTTTCAAAGTATGCCTGAGTTAAATGGTCCCCAGTGCATGATCAATATATACCTGTTGACACCATCTCTCGAGTTCTATAACTTCCAGTATTTTTGTTCTCGCTTGTTACGTGTATTTTTTCCACATATGTGTATATGTGTCGTGTGTTCACCGTGTGCTAGTTTCTATGTATCCTCTGTGTGTGTGTTTCGTCTCAATATGCGATTGATTCTTCCTCCCGAATTCGACTGTTCTTCCTGACCTTTTTTTCTCCAGCTCTCCTTTGCTTTCAAAGCCATTTATTTGTTAGTGTGAGATGTTTGCTGCTTTGACACATCTCTGCTCATCTGAACTTCCATTCTGCTCAGAGCGACTGATGCTTTAAGACTGATTGATGCCAGTCTTTCAGATTGATCCATTCACTCTGCTTTCGATCAACATTTAAATATGATCAAGTTAGCACGCTGCTCTGTTGCTGTCTCTCACTGGATGGATCTCTAGGGCTCTCCCTGTACTCCATTTCCCCCTTTTTTCCCTCCATTTCTTCTTATCTTTTACTATTATTTTGTTTCAAACTTCCCTTTTGCTCCTTTTTTGACCCCAATGCCCCTCCTTTTCTTTTTTTTTCTGTGTAGCAAAAGAGAAAGAATGAGAAAACAGCAGCCAGCAGATTCAGCAGCTCTTCTAATGTCAGGGCTATGGAGGCAGCGGGTGTGGGCGTGGGCGTGGCAGGTTCAGGAAGTGGGCAGCCCCCACAGCCCCCACCTCCTCCCCCAGCCCAGCCCAGCCGCCTAGAGCCCATCCCCAACTCCCCCCTCCACCACCTTGAACTCAACTCCAACAAACCTCTTCCCCCGCCGACCCCTCCCACCGAACCCAAGAAATTCATGAGGTGAGACCTTTTCAGCCCCGACGGGCAGCAGCTGGTCAATCCACGCATCAGCCATCCAATCACAGGCTTCAGGTTAATTGGAAAGACCTGCTGGTTACAGAGGTTAAAGCACTGTTACTGATTTGTCTCACAGCCTGAGTCAAACCTTGAATGTATAAGCTGTATTTTAGGCCGTGTGTTCTCTCACAAAAGCCTTAAAATAACACCAAAAAAAAACAACAACCACGAGAACTCTCTGTTGTTTCTGGCTTTAAACGGGAACCTCTCAGTGGGATGATAACTTACTGTTTTACATTTTCATCCCTTCCTGCCAAGTCTGGCCTTTTTCATAAACCATAAGTAGCATGAAATCATTGTCATCACGAGCTGCAGAGTGTAAAATAAAAGCTTTCAAATGCTCTAATGTGTTGTAATCGACCGTTTCCACGCCTGGTTTACAATGAAAGCAACGGAAGATTAACGTCTTCTTAGTAATTATTTGTAATTTCTGATTGATTTCAGCCAGCGGTAAACAAAAGCAGCTAAAATGACACCTGTTAACTAACAAAGCTAACATTAGCACCGTGTGTTGGTCGTCTCCGGCTGACTTTTTAGTGTTTTCCAGCTTTTAAAACAAAACCTGTAAAATGATCTTAAGTATGCACTTAACAGCCTACATGCATGATAGCTTGCTAAAGGACAGAGAGGCTAGAGCTGTATGTCCGAGGCAAATGTGAGCATCCTCACCAGCTTATGATCCACGTCGAAGACATAAAGAACTGCATTGTTCTTGTATTACAGTGTAGAAATGGTTACTCCTACTATTGTAACTATGATGAGGAACGATCAGACTGTTACTTCATTCCAACATTATTTATTTGCTTCATTGGAATAAAAGACAGAAGTTATATTTATGCCTTATTGTTTGTATTTTCAAACTGAGAAGAGAAAACGCTTTAGGATGAGGATTAACCAAACAAACTGTTTGCTATCTCAGGTAACATCTTCCCAGGACAGAGCAGCTAATTAGGATAAACTCTGATATAGTAGAAGGAAGGCTGGGTTATTATAAAGCTAGTTAGCCGGACATGCTAACGTCTGCAGCTTACAGTAGAGCAGATAAAAACACTATTTAATGCGTTCTTTACACTTTTGCTCTTTACTTTTTGGTTTCGAAAGGGAGTTACTAAAGAAACCGACATCCAAACTCTTTATATATGGAGTAATACTCCACCTACGTGTTACTATTTACAGTTGCTAAGCCATACTGGACGCACTTAAAAGAGACTGTTGAGGTTTGTGTCACACAATGACTGACCCTCCTTTGACATTAAAGGACGTGACTGAACTCAGAGACATCGGCAGAATCACAGGGTTTTAAAAAAAGTGATGATTATTTAGAAATGAACATTATAATCAACACAATAGTCCCATAAGCGACTGAAGCTTTAAAGAATGGCCTTGGAATGCAAAAGGGGCATGTTTTTTTTGTTTGATTGTTTTTTATTTTAGTTTTGTTTGTTTCCACGTGTCCGTCAGTCTGAACATGTTAACAGTGTGCATGCGGACAGGTTTCCCTTTTCTGTTCAGGAAGTTATTCAACTTGCTGTTAATATCTGTTGTGGCTCTTTGTTGTGCATTGTGTCATTTTGTGATTCTTCATCCTCATCTTCATCTGAATTCCAGCATGTGGCACACGCAGCACAACTCCAAATGGGACTATTTTTGCACAATGTAAATAAACTATTTTGCTATCTGAACTAATAATGAAGTAGATATTGTCTTTTGCTATCATGGACTTGTCCCCTCTGTGTGTGGTGGTGTCTTATTTACTCTTCAACTCAATGGTCTAATAAATGCTTCTCTGGTTTCTTGCTAATGGCTGTGATTGGTCGCTGTGGTGTGAACTGATATGATGATGAATTATGTAACATGCTTCTCACATGAATACATGCAGTTTGTGTATCGCATGCCAAGAAATGTTTTTTTTAGGGGCATTAATATTTGGATATGTAGCATGTGTGGGTGTGTACGTGAGAGCATGTTGTGGTTATTTTTTGCATGTTTTGCTGCTGTTTACGTGAAGAATGAGATCTGGTGGCTGTTTTGCAAAAGCTTGGCACAAACCTGTTATTATGGGACCCAACACACACACAGACACACACTTACACACTCACACACACACACAGTGGAGCCAAGCAGTGACAGTATGAGGTCAGATATTATAGATCTGCTTTGAAATGTTTTCAGACTCCATTAAACGATTCGTCCCTCCTCCCCCTGCACGCTCTTTGTTCTTGACAAACATTTGTAGATCCCTCTGCCCCGGCCGTAACTCTCTGTTAATCTGACCCCTTTAAACTGTCGGGTTCTTTAAGTATTCATATCTTGAAGAGAGTTTTATAAGACAACAAACCTCATCTAAGTGGATCAGAACATGAATATTACTGTTGTTATTGAATATTAAATCGGGAGCCAAACAACAGTGAGCAGAGTTAAATTAGTAATTATAAAAGTCTGTCAGTCTCCCAACTTAAATGCATTTTTTCCCAACTTGCACACCAACTATACAGATATATTAAGCAAAACTCCAGCAGTATATTTAAAGGATCTATCCTCATTTTACCTCCCCTTACTGTGTGTGTTTGTTCTTGCAATGATGAAGAACATGGGAATAATGTGCAGGAGTCCAGGTAGCTTACACTTTGTCTATTAGGACTAATGAGAACATGATTATAGCCAGATGTTTATGGGAAGAGAGTAAATGCAGGCTGATAAAAATGTCCGATTTAAACTGAATAATGTAAAATAATGCAATGGGGAAGGAAGGAAAGGTCATGCTAGTGAATCAAAAGACCTGATATTGTGGTCAGTGTGGTTTATACAAACATGGTCCCTGCAGACTATAGGCTGAATACTATTGTAAGACATTTCCATTATTTACTGAAAATGCAGCTAAAAGGACACAGTTTTATACATTTGTTCATGTTGTAATTGCTTGTATCGACTTCCTCTTGCTTCCTCGTGGCCAGGCTGTCATTGTAAATGAGAAGTGGTTGACTTATCTGGTTAAATAAAGGTAAAATTAAATTACATAAATACACCTGAACTGTTCAGAGAATCAGACCAAAAATAAATGTGGAGTTGCAGCTTTAATACTAATGCACTGACCTTCCTGTACAGTATCCTCTTGGTCATCTGTGCTTTTATCAGTGTCACCAGTTTGTTTTGCACTAGTGTACTGTGCACTATTTTAAGTTATGGAAAGCCAGTTGAATTATCTGTCTGGAAATGAGAACTTGTTAAAGCTTTAAAGTCCAACTGTAATCCCATTTAGTCTTCCCTTCTTTAGTCAAAAATAATCAATAGAAAAGGGAGGGAAAAAGCAGCAGGAAAAACGTGTGCTTTAGTCTGCATGTGACGGGCAGACAGTGTTGTTAGCAGTACTGAAGAGGAAGGACCACAGCAGCATAGAACTGGACTGCAGTGACATTTTCTGGTACGTTCTGACGCTGTTTCATGTGCTGCAGCTGAGCAGATAATTAGCTATCTAGTGTGCAAACTGATGTTAGCAGTGCAGTGTTTTCCCTGGTGAATGTTCTCTGGCTGCAAGCGGAGGTGCAGGACAAGACGTGTTCATGTTTGTACGTTTGATAAGGAGACTTTAGCAGGAAAGCTAATGTGGGTTGTTGCTCAGAGTGGTTGTGTATAAAGCTGCTTTCTGCTCCAGCTATGATAGAACTTTACTGCTTCATCCGAGACTTGATTGGCTGTCAGGGCTCAACAAGAAGGATTGCCCGGTTGTCTGGGACTAGTAAAATGCCACATCGTGCTCGTAACTCTTACAACATTTTTAAAAAAAGAATGAAACACATTGGGTTTTTTTCTGAGCAGATGATGGAAGTAGTTAAAGAGTGAAGCATCTGGCTTCCTCCTCATCTCTGTTGAGAGTCGCACATGCTCAGTGCTGACTCGTGAGAAAATGGCGGCAGGTACAAAAGTTTATGAGCTGCAAGCAAGCATTTCAATGATCCTGGAAACAGAGAGTTTAGTTGGCTGGCTTTAGAGGATGTAGGCGAAGCTCCAACTCTTTGCCACAAGTTTGAGAGCGAGTTGTTTTTCAAAGGCTAGTCAAGTTTCCAAAAATCGTCGAGAGCCGACGCCATCTCGCTTGCATGACATCTAAGAGAGTCTTTGTTGTTATTTAATAGCTGCTAATAGAGAAGAAATTAGTGTTGTACCCTGTCAGTATCAGCATAAGATCTCCACTCGTAGATGGACAGAGAGAACGATATTCTTTCAAAACTAGAGGGCGCCATCATCGAAACTCAGAAAATATAAAGGAAGGGCTGAGCTGTATTCAAGTGGTTGTAATCCACAACTTCACCACTAGAGGTCTCTGAACCCTTCAGGCTGGTCCTTAATATATTTTCCCATTAAGTATTTTATTATCAGAAACACACATAATGTTGAAATCCACAGAATATAACCACTGATTGAACAGATAGGAACACTTAAACCATTTTGCTGATGTCACAACCCAACTTCCCCACAAGGATCGATACGGTTTTCATGTTATTGTCACAAATTCTCATGAATGGTAATTATTGCAAATTTATAGTAAATACAAAGCTGCTGGTTAACTATAGTGTTTGTTTAATATGGAAACGATGTATGGAAATGACTTTATATAAGATACTTTATGGACTTAAAGGACCAGTGTGGAGGATTTAGTGGCATCTAGTGGTGAAGTTGCAACTAACTGAATGCCACTTGCAACTGTAGAAACACGGTGGACTCGGAGATTAATAACCTAATAATAAGCCATTCTTATTTTCAACTGATTATAAACTAGTGAAAACATACCTATGGATATTATATTCCATTTCTGCCAATAGATCCCTCTAAATGTTACATACTGGACCTTTAAACCAATATCCGTGGAGTCTGCATTGTGACCATGTACAGTATAAACAAACATAAGGGAAGCCGCCTTGGGAAGTAACTGACCTCTTCAAGCACAGAAAACAACCAAAAAAACGACTTCCCCAAAACAATGTAAATATTACCCAGGAGGTTATGGGACTGTTTATTTAAGACGTAGCCAATAAGAAAGCAGACGTAGCTCCAATAGGTGTTTGTTTGGATAGATGCAAACACTCAACCTAATTAATTCAAACTTTGAGGAACACGTTTCCCCCCGAGTCAGGAAGCACAGCTTCATCTACAGATACCAACAGTGACTGACATTTTCCTGTAAAAGCAAATACTGTCAGTAGTTCATGAGGGTTGAGGTTGTGCAGTCAGACACTGTATCTGTTATAGACACATTAGATCCTAATATATGGAAGACACAACTGTGAGATAATACTGTACACGCATCCAAAGGGAACGCCGACAACGTTTCTGGAGTATAACTGCAAAGCTGTGTCAGGTTTCCATACTTACATACTAATTCTAGCAAATGAAAGTGACAGTAAATCAGTCCACATCTCAAGGTCTTCCTCAGCTTAACTCCCTGTGCTGAAAAAGACAGTGTGGTTAAAAGAAAGTAAGTGAACCTTCAGGTGAGAGTTAGGCAGGTTTTTAATATGTTTTCACAGTGGCAAAATTGACAAAATTAAGTATACCTTTAAAAAAATCTTTATTATGTTAAGTCTGGTGATTTTTCTTAAGAAATCTCATGAAAAGACCAAAGTCAACAATGTGTCCATCAGTACTCTTAATACTTTCTGACCTCCCTTCCCTGCCTGTGACTTTCAGCGTCAAATACATCGGGTTCTACTGAAAACATAAGTCCTTTTTTCAAAGCTCATAAATATATAGTTTCCTTTAATTTTCCGTAAACATCTGGGCTTGTCTAGTTTTTAATAAATGTTACTCAAACAGAGGTTTAGTGCATTTTGTGGGGACTATTTCTAGCAGCGGATTAACACACATTTGGTTGCTCTAGTGAGTATTTACAGCAGCAGGATGGTATATGTGGACAACAGCGTGGCTCACTGATGTGTTTGAACAGATAATAACGGAGCTCTAAGGCACGGAGGAAGAAGATATATCAGACTTTACAGACACAGTTCTAGTTAGTGCGATTGATTCATTATTGGTTTTGGTATTTTCATGTTTCTGACTCAATCTCCAGATTTTAACATTCTGCTTTCTCTTTATAAAGTTTCAAAAGTTGTGGTTTGATTGATTACTTAATTTCTTGCTAAAGTATACTGTTTACTGCATAAAAGCTGCAGAAACCCTTTATTACAATAATTAGTATAAGTGCTATATACAGTTGGTATGCAGTATGGAATTGGGATTTGTGTCTACTCCAGATCCTGGCAATGGCTTTACTGCCCCCTTGTGGTCAAACATGTGGATTACAACCTTTCACGCAGACCTTTAAACCTGCACATTAGTATTATATCTGGTGGTTGCACTGCTGTACTGTGCCAGGCAAAATACATCAGACACAAACATAAATTGGTTTTGTGAAATACAGCGAAAAGTTCAGTTCAGTGGGAAAAAAAGTCCACTTCTAGCACAGAAAGAGATCTTTTAGTAACTGTAAGTTTAATGAAAAATACCGATACTGAATCCACCTCCTGCTTCTTCCCTGACTTGTCTTTTTCTTCTTGTCTTTGATTTGATTTTTGTTGTGATGGTTTTGCGCTGAAGCCCTCCTGAAACCAAGGACTCCGCCATCGACTCCCCGGACGCCCAGCGCCAGGAGTGGTTCGCTCAATACTTTTCCTTTTGATTGACCACAAACCTGCAAAACACAAGGATTCAGCATGTCAACCAAACTTGGGGAAAAAACAAAAAACTTAGTTAAAAAAAAAAAAAACAGAAAAAAAAGAGAAAAATGTTAAAACTATTTGTTCTTTATTGTCATTGATAGGTTCGGGGATCAATTCACTTCAGATTCAGTCAACTTAAAACCTGAAATTCACGGTTTTAGAGAATCAATTCTCACGGATCTGTCAGCGAACACACACACAGGCAGAACTCGATGTCATTCATTCTCACTCTGGTAAAAAATGTAATGATTATCCACTTCCTGGTGTTGACTGAGGTGAAACCGGATTGAACCCGATTCCGACCGTCAAATGTCATCACTCTGATCTGATTTGATTGTTTGATTATCTCTGATTGTTTCACTGTGGACGAGTCTCTCTTAGTACAGTGACAATGATCATCAGTATGTTTGATGTTTTCTTTTTTATTTCTTTACTTCCTGACTTATTTTGCAGTTTCTCGGAACTAGAAAAAAACACGAGTGGTGCATTTATCATGCTGCTAATTGCCATCGTTGGACTACAGTAAGAAATATATATATAAAGAAATATACGGTAGGTTATTGTGCTCTCTCTGTACCTGGGCCCACTGCATACAGCATCTTAGACTAGGAGCGATGATCTAAGACCAGTCTGCCTCCTCATTTATGGTGACATTTACATGGACCTGATCCTAGATCAGTTACACTTATTCTGATATGCTCCATGAATACAGGCTCTGATTTTAGGACGGCACCATCATGGCAAGTTTGTTACAGCTGCATAGAAGTTTCAGCAGATTTTGGTAGAATATTAAAACCTGTTTGTATGGTTGTCTGTCTCAACACAGATATAATGATGTCTCACCAATTTTAAAAACAAAAATAGCATATTTTATATTTATATTATAATGTGTATGCTTAATAAATAATTATTGTGACATTTATTTGTGTTTGTTTGTCATTTATTTTAATGAATCGGTGGTTTATGTTTCATTTAATCAGGAATGTGTGTGGGGTGGCCAGAGGGTGGCGGGGTGGAAAATATATGCTGATTTTATTGCAAACAATCCCATGTATCAGTATTTGCTTGGAAACGGCACCAAATGAAGATATTTAAACTTGAAATATGTAAAGGCAGCAAAAAAAAAACACCTGGCCACCTCAATTTGATGTAAAATTTAACACACTAATTTAGATTAATTTTAAAAATAATACATTAAAAAGTGACACTTGAAAATAAAACTATTAATTTATTATATATAATTATATTTCTATTCAATGTTTCGCTTATGTGCCACAATAATATAATTGGGGGCTTTTCGAAGCAAATGTTGATTGTTTGTGATTGTGTGACATTAGAAATGTATACATTGTTTTCTATCCAATAACTGGCCATAACAGATCATAACAACTCATTGTTTTTAAAAATTAATCTAAATTACCGTAATAAATTTGACACCAGACTGGGGTGTGGAGGCATTTTTTTACTCACCCTTGTAGAGCCACGAGAGCTGCATTCAATGTCACAGTTGATTATGGAAGTTAATTAATGAAAAAAATACTGAGATGCAACAAAATTGAGTTTTAACAGCAACATTTGATGCAGAACAAGTTAAAAATGTGAAAAATGTAACTATTTTCTAATTGAATGTGAAGAGAGTGCACAGTAGTGGAGTAAAATGTACCATATTTGTCCCTAATATTAAGTAGAGTAGTAGAAGATGAAAGTTGAATAAAATGGAAATGCAAAGTACTTTGAATTTGTAAGACTACTTCGGTACAGTTCTTGAGTAAGTATACTTGGTTATATTGTATTTTAATTAAAATTTAATCAATTAATAAAGCTGATGAAACACTGAGAGGAGCCTGACATTAGTAAAATGTGTCTAATGGGGTTGAACCTTCACTTTCTGGTCAAATCCAGTGAGTTTCGAACTTAATTTAAGAATAATTGAAGCCTTAATGCTCGCTCCAGAGTTTTGTTATTAAAAGACTTCCGTATATCCTTTAAAAGAGTTATAACTACACTCAAAAAATACTACAATTCAGTACACTTTTCCAAATTATTATAGTAAGTAGTGATAGAGTTTATTATATTATATTATATTATATTATATTATATTATATTAGATAAAAAGCCTGAGGAGAAGCATAGAAGAAGGTGATGATGAAGGAGAACAAGGTGGAGAAGAAAAAAGGTAAAGAGACAGACAGAAACAACACGGTGAGCTGTTAAACCTCGTGGTGTTGACTTTTAAGGGAATACATTTCGGACAGTATTTTGCAGTGTTGGAGGAGTTATTCAGATTCTTTGCTTAAGTATATTGGGTGGCAAATAATGATTATCTTCATATTGGATTGTTTTCTTGATCAGTCCATTTATTCTGTATTATTACCTAAATTAAACAAAGCTCAAAGTGACACCTTGAGATGTCTCGTTTTGTCCAACCAACAGTTCAAACCTCAAAAAGATGCAAAATGTCACAACTGAGAAGCTGAAACCATTCAATATTTGGTGTTTTTACATGAGAAATAAATTAAACATTGCATTTATTTTATTTTTCATATACAGTATATATATATATATATATTTCACAAATCAACTAATTGATTGAGTAATCAGTTAAGCTCAGTTTTTATGTAGCCTATGTTTGTTGTTTTAAAAGTTCTTCTTTGTAAAGTAACTAAAGATGTGAAGTAAAAGGAGTAAAAAGTAAAATATTGTCCTCTAAAATGTAAAAGAGTAGAGTACAGATACCTCAAATGTGTACTCACTAAAATAATAATAATATAATACTAAAATACTATTTCCTAAAATAGAAACTGCACATAATTCACATTTTAAACAGTATTGTGTCTGTAATAAGAGTTCAGATTATTCCTTTAAGTGTGTTTCACTGTGCAGTGTTAGAAAGCAACCAGCAGGGGGCGGTAGCGGTTTATAAAACAGCCTGAACCGGAACATAAACAAACCCGTTCCTGTGCGGGATAAAAATGTCTGCCACGGGAGCCGGGCCGGGCCGGTTGGTCCAGTATGTTGTAGTCCGGTCGGACCTGGTTCACAAGCTGTCCTGGCCTCTGGGAGCCGTTATAACTCAGGCCTGTCACGCCGCTACCGCCGCCGTCCACCTTCACTACGGAGACCCGGACACACAGCGGTACCTGGCGGAGCTCGACTCCATGCACAAAGTGGTGCTCGGGGTAAGCGCGACACGTCACGCCAAACTCCATTCAAATATTCGCCACTTTAGTGCTGCTTGGCTTGTCAAACCGATGTATGTGGGTTAGTACAGTTTACGTGATGACACATTTAGAAGATAATGTTGTTGTATAAATTGTTCGGCGTCATAAAATTTATATAAAGTGTCTTTTTTTTTTTTACTTTCCTTCAGTGTTTAGCTGGCTTAGCTATCAAAAACGTGCGATAAATGAATGGTGAAGCGATTGGAAAAGTCCTCGATTTTACTATGAACAGAAGCCCTGTTTGGGTAAGATGAGTGCCGAATTAACAAGTGACTTCTCACGAATGTATTAATATCTTGAATGGTTTTCAAGCTGGTATAATTTTGTATTAATAAGCAAATAAATTTTAATAGGCGCAATTTCGAATGGAGTATGGAGGTATTTATCCATGCAAGATTTACTCCTGTAGTCTAACAATACTCTATAACTGCACTATAACAATAAATAATAAAATTGAGAAGGAACTCTTGAAGGGTTGATATTATTCTTTTTTTTAATGACAATGCTTAAGCTTAATAGATAAATATGATGAAATTCAGTAATTACTTTTTTAAAGTAAAAGCTTTAGAAAAAGTGTATTTTCTCACATGCAGCACTGTAATGAAATGTGAATTATTAGGTATCCAGTCTTGATCTTTAGTAGTCTGGCTTTACAGTAAGTGTGTGTGTTGTTTTCCCTCCAGGCTCCAGACGAGGCCGCCCTCTCCGGTCTATCAGAGACTCTGACGCAGGCTGGTGTGGCCCACAAACTCTGGATCGAGCAACCAGAGAACATCCCCACCTGCCTGGCTCTGAAGCCGTGTCTAAAAGAGACTGTCCAGCCACTGCTGCGCAAGTTCAAACTCTTCAAATGACCCCTGAAAGACGTTGTCCGTCTATAAACTACAGACGAATACTGTCATTTCATGTGTAAAAGGACATCTGACAGTGGGGCTCTTCCTGTGGGGGCCGCAGTATCTGTTAGTGCTGATTTCCAAGATTAAAGACAGGAAATATGTTATTTTCTGCATTAAATTGTTGCTAATTAAGAAGTGAGAGTCATTAAGCTACAGCATGTTAACACAACCAATCAGGTGAGTTGTAAAAAGTTAAATAAAATGAATAATGGTTTGAATTGTAGCCACAAAAAAGGTTCTAAAGCGGTTTTAAAAAATCTGTTAATATATACAGTAAATAAATCATCCTTGTTCAATACATTGGAATTAAAAATGTGTTATCATGTTGTTGCCAATCCTCAACTTAAGGCTGGAAAAGTATCTGCTTTGTCATGTTTTTCTGACTCACTGAGTTAATGTAAAACACTTTAATTTCCTTTTATCCAGTTGTGTAAAAGTCTAGACTTGTTTCTACTTTAAAAGGACTTTTAAAAACTGTCTTTCTTTTGTTAATCATGTTTAATTTCTTGGTTGGAAAATGACACAGAAGACACAAAAGATCTGCTTGAACCATAAGAGACTTGAAGTATTAAATTAAGAATATGTGCAGATTTTGACTGTGATTGTCTTTACTACTCAGGTGAGCCTACATTTGGCTCATGAACTCTAAAATACAGTCAGTTCTAGTTCAACCTGTGAAACGGCGTCTCAAGTTCAAGAATCTGTATATAAACATTCATCCATTTAACCTTTATTTAAATCTGAAAGAACCATTGAATACACGCCTTCATTATCAGTGATGGCAAGCATACAATTAGAATAAATACGCACAAAATATAATTAAAAACAGTGATGTTAAAGATTAAAGTAGTTTACATTCATGGCTTTAAATGGACCTATTATACATTCTTGTTGTGCAACAGGAGAACAGACGTAATACTGTGTCAAGCCTTTATTTGCATGTAACCTGATTAAATGTTCGTGTTTGTGGGACTGACATAATGTCCTTCACATGTTGGCATTTCAGGACAGACTGAGCAAAAAAAATGTTCTCTGTCTGTGGTAATTAATTGTTTTTCAGCTGGAGAAACAGCCGTCAACAAATGCTGTGAAACAGGTTGGATTTGGTCTTTTTTGGCCTTAAAGTTTATTGTGTTTTCTCCACTGGAAAGGCACCCTACAGGCCATTTCATCACATTTTCTCCACTATAAGGGCACACTACAGGGCACTTTATCATGTTTTATCTACTATAAGGGCACACTACAGGGCACTTTATCATGTTTTATCTACTATAAGGACACACTACAGGGCACTTTATCATGTTTTCTCCACTATAAGGACACACTAGAGACACTTTATCTACTACAGGGGTATCCAACAGGGCACCTTTACTGCATTTCCGAACCTGGGGGTGATGCCCTCTTTCTCTGGGCTCCGGTCTGAGCTGGGACTGTGGTCGTAAACAGTTAATGGGACCGTTACCTTAGTAACCATGTTGTTATGGTCTGTCTGTGTTTGTGGGAAAAAGGAAAAACATTCGGTATAGATCAGCATAGAAAATGCAAAAAGTGTCCGTATCTTAATGATTAAAATGACAGACAGCCACCACTCGCCCACTAAGACCCGGCAGATAATTGTGTCCTCGACCATTTTTATTAAATACAGCCGTGTTTGTCTCTCAGATGTGTTCCCAGAACTGCTCATCTGCTCTCTCCATATTATCCAGGAGTTCGTGGAACCGCTGTCGCCTGCATTTTACTCTGCAAAAGGTTACAAAATATATAAAGTGCTCCTTAGAATTCACTGCGTGTAGATGTGTTTTCTACTTACTCTGTATACCCTGTAAATATACTGGGAACATACAGGACTTGTTATTGATACCTTGAGAGCCAAAATCAATATATCATGTGTATTAATACCCCAGTACCTTAATGACACCAAATGTGTGGGCAGAAGGCCATTGATCAGTCCAGCTTCTTATTGGTTATTGACAAAGGAACTGTAACTGATAATCACAGACTCAAGGCTGCAACTCATTGATTTTCATTACCAGTTATTCTGCAGAAATTTCTATTTTTTCAATAAAATAGAGACAAAATGAACTATGAAAAACACTTAAACAATGAATAAATTACTGAAATAGTTGATTTGTTTATTGTTAATTAACTAATTGTTTGAGCTCTATACAGTAGCAACCTTCCAGAGTGGCTGCACATGCTTTGAAGAGGACCTGTTGCTCCTCTGTAACTCCACTCTGCCCAAGCTTCATATTTCATATAAATAACTACATAAATAACAAATGTGGTTCATGTTTTTATGCATGCATTTCATGGCTGGGTGCAGTTTTATGGAAACAGCAGCAGAATTTATTCACACTATCACTGCCCTTTCAGTCTCCGCTGCACGATATTTGAGTGAGTTTATAGAAAGTAATTTGTCTTAACAGCTAATTTCACTTCTTCCACAAAGTGTTTCTGGGCTGATTTTTAAATGATTGGAGATATTAAGGCTTGATTGCAGGCTTGCAGTTTCCATGAGAGACAGGTATCTCAGCTGTAACCTATAAAAAACATCTGGGAATTAAGCCAACTGAGAGTAAAGTGGCAGCAAATTAACTGTAGCTCATTTGCATATTGTGAATACGTTTTCTATCATTCACACAGGAAACGTGGTTTTTTTTCAAATTAGACTGCCATGCGTGACTCATCTTCAACTTCTTCCAACCATTTCAGGCATTCTTCAATGAGGCACTTACCAACAATTATTACATTTGAAAAATAAAACAATAAAACCAAAACAAAATAATAATAAATCAGCTCCAACGGTCAGAATTCCCATAGATCCAACTGCCAGCTTTCATGAGTCATAACCTTGAACTTTGAAGTAAGACTAAGAGCTCTAAAGGAATGTAAGTGACCAATTAACATATTACACACAATGTAATTACTTCTCAGAGTATTTCCCAGAATATCTCCTGAAGACACGCCCATACACACGCTACTCTCGTTCTCACGTGTAATTTCATCACAAAACAAAGTGAAATGTACACTGTGAGCAGCCCTGGAGAACAATACCACATTGAGGATACTTAAACAGCAAAAACGCATACACCTGAAGGAGATATACAGAATTTATACATTTGCCATTCTTTAAAACAGTTGCACAACTCTGTGACGGTAACAGAGAGTACCGGGACGGTAAACAGCAGGAAATGTGCTGGTTACAATCTTTACACTCTGATAGAGCAAAGTCCGAGCATAACATTGTTTCATACCAGCATTAAAGCTGGACAGTGGTTCAAATGACTGTGTGTAATGTGAAAGTTGTTGATCCTGACCTAGTTTCCAGCTGCAGCAGTATGTATAAACTGTATGCTATCAACAGTACCCAGCAAGTCAGTTGTTGATGCCAAACACGATAAGACATTTGAATGTATAGCACCTATATGGCTCCTTCATGCATCAGCACCTCTTTCCTTTCTTATGATTAATTGATTGATTGATTATCTATTTATTCCATAAAATGTCAGGAAAAACAGGAAAAAAGGTGTAGTGGGTCCAGAAACTCAATTAACTAGGATATAAAACAGAAAGCAACAACAAAAACAGCACATTTGGGATAATTTGAGAAGGTGGAATCAGCTTCGGCAGTTTGTAAACTTAATACAACGATTATAAAGACTTTACTTTGAGTTTTTTATTTAATTTCCCAACATAAAGATCTAAATTCTCTTTTAAACGCCCCTACACTGTGCCAGGAATAAAACTCTGTATTCTGACACATAATGAACACTGGTGAGATTATTAAAAACAATAAAAATCAGCCTAAATAAATTGTTGGATTGTAACTGTAAACTGCTCTCAGGCTGCTGAAACCCAAAAATTCCCAGAAAACAAACTTCAGAGGACATGACCTCTAGTGTGAGCACCAACTTTATTCATTTTGTTTGCTGTTCTGGACGTCTGCCTTCAATAAATGTCTTTTTAAAGCCATGTGGTGATGTCAATTTACCACATTGTAGACAATAAAGTTCCTTACTACCTAATGATGGTCACAGAAAGACACTGCACCGTTATGAATCATCACCCTTTTCCTCTCACTCTCTGTAACCAAAGTGGAGCCAAGGTTCACTCCGCCCTGCCAGATGTTTCCAGTGAAAGGTATAAACATGTTTTAATTCTAGCATAAATTGCTGTTTAAGGTGTTTTATTTTATGTGAGGTAAAGAAAATGTTTAAATATATAGGATCCATAATTAGCACTAAGCTGGAAGTCAGTCAATAGACACTTTTCATGGCAGACATTTTGACTTGCCAAAGCAGGAAAAGCACAGGTGTATTTAATTACATTAACCATTAAATGTCCCAGTGAGCCATGTTAGTGAGTGAGCGCACACACAATACCAAAACCCTGGAACTGGATCAACTACATGCAGTGTCTAATAATCTGACTAAAAAAAACACAAGAAGAAATCCCTCATGTGTAAATAAATACAAGGACACATTTAATATTGACTGAAATGCATCTAAATGACAGAAAGGTGCATTCATGCTTTCACAGAGAACTCCAGGCTGTCCCTCCTCTGATACCAGGCAGCAAGAAAACATCTCTTCCTACTAACAAACAGGCTCACTGGGGAGGTGTGGAGGCGGACCCGGTTTAGGCCCATCAGCATTAAGAGCCAGTGACAGCTCACAGCAACATCATCGTCAACCCTGAGCTTTCTCAGATCTCAATATATGAACATATTCAGCTAGCTTAGCTCACCTTGTAAAAGGTTACGTAACAGCATTCTAGCTTTACAGTGGATTTACATCTACCACAGTCATGTGCCCCCCCGCGGAGTCGGCCCTGCCTGCGTCATTAATGTTATTAATTCTGCCCGTACTTTATGTGCTTTGACGAGTCAAAATGTCAGCCATGAAAAGGGTCTATTGAGCAACCTTTGCATCTTAACAATACAATAGTAGTACTGTATATCCTGCTGGTCACAGGCCAGAGAGACTGTGCTGAAACCAACTTTAAGCAAGCCTTAAAAGATTGATAGGAAGACATTAAATCACCACCATTGTAACATTATTGTCCGGATACAATCTCTTTGAATCAGAAGTGCGATTGGTATTCAGGATCATTTATAAAGCCACTTCTCCCCCATTTAACATCTTTTTTTTTCCAGCTCCTTTCTGAGCAAATGAGCAGAGCCTCTCAATCTGCTCTAAACTAAACATCCCACTGCGGCGGAGAGCCTCTGCACTATCTGCTTTTTTTATTTACTACAATCAAACATTGGAACATGCTCCCAGCTGAGCTCAAAATGTGCACAGGCTTTCGTTGTTTTTCCCATGATGATGAATGTGCTGATATGGTACGATGGTTGGTGTGATAGAGACGATGTTATGGTGTTGCATGTACATGAATGGTTTGAGTGTCTGGTTATTGTTCGTACCTGCAGATGGAAATTAGCTGATAACTAAATCTGACGTAAATCATCTCTTCTCATTGTGAGATGAATCTTTTTGTGAATGGTCCTTGGTCATCTTAGTGCCCCTAATGGCAAGAAAGATAGTAGATTGTTGAGTCTCATTCCCAAGGCGTCAAATACTATTTAAGT